GAGGGAGGAGAACAAAGTCAAGACACGGCTGAGTCAAGAAGGTGCAAAAAATAGGGGACAACAGAAAAACTCCGCACAACAAAAGCAAGAAAGGACGGAAGGCAGAAAGCGAAAAAGAACCCCCCCCCCCCCCCCCCCGCCCGCGTCTCTCAACCTCTGCCCGCCTCACGCCCTGGCCTCGTCCCTCTTCGTCCCCCCCCCAGGCTCTCGGCATCGCCCTCGCCATCATCACCATCCGCCGCCGCCGCAGCAAGGAGTCCCCCCCCCTGCCGCTCGTCTGATCCGGGGCAGAACGAGGTGCGACCCTGGATTGCTCTTGCGGGGCGAAGAGTTGCTCGAGCTCCTCGGACTCGGGCTCGCGAGCTTTTGGCGCGCTAGTTGGCCGCGCAGGCAGAGGGGCGTGGGGGGAGGGAGGTGCGGTTTCGGGGTCGGTCTGCTCTCTGGGAAGGGGAGGGGCGCGCGGGGCGGCGGCGTGGGAGGGGCGGGGGCAGTCAGGCCGTTTGTGTCCTCCGGCCCTCATTTCTTCGTTCTCGAATCACGTCAATCGTGCGTGCGCTGTACGAGACTGGTGGTGTCCAAGGACCAAGCCCTCAGTGTGCACCATGTCTCAGGCCTGACGGTGTGATGCTGTTGCTGATGCGTGATGGGTGCGCGCTGAGAGAGATAGCTATGAGCGTGAAAGGAAACTCATTTTGACGGCTGTGAACGGCGTCTCGAATGGCGACGCTTCCTCCGAGGGATCCCCGCGACATATACAGACCCTAACTCGGACAAGTCGGTCGACAAGCTGGTCGAGATTTCCAATAGCCAGCTCGAAAAATGCTGTCGGCCACCGACAAATCCTTACTTGATCGACTCCGTGATGAGATCGCTGAAAGTCGCCGTTTGCAGCGGAAGCAGGCCATCGCGCTGGCGACAACGGCAGAGCGACTCTCTAGGGTCGACGAACGCCTCGGAAACTTGGAGCTGCATGTGCGAGAAAGGGCTTGTGTCATCGGCCTCGCTCAGAGCACTGAGCAGTTTAGCAGCCTTGCCAATCAGATTGAGCTCTCCGTCGGGGGCGACGGGCAGCCTGAATGTCACATCATGATGCCTCCGCCGCCAGTGCCGCCCTCGGCAGCGACTCGGGCGGCATGCGCAGCGGCGATCTGCGGCGACGCTGGCGCAAGCATGTCTCCGGGCCAGGGTGTCCTCCATGTGGTGCGTTTATCACACCCTCTCGTTGGTAGCTGCACCTATGACCCGTTGACCCCTCTCCGCACCCCCCCTCCCCTTCCGCCCCTGTTTGCAAGGGGGACGCATCGCAGGCTATCTACCTCCCCCTCGCCTGCCTTGCCGACCCTTACTTCGACGCTGCACGGCTACGCGGCCGCGGCCGCGACGGCGGCGGCGGCGGCGGCCGCCGCCGCGGCGGCGGCGGCGGCGGCGGCGGCGGCGGCGGCGGCGGCGGCGGCGGCGGCGGCGGCGGCGGCGGCGGCGGCGGCGGCGGCGGCGGCGGGGGCGGGGGCGGCGACGACAACGGCAGAATCGACGAGTACATGTAGGCGGCGGAGCAAGCGAGATGAAGGGGCAGGGATGGATCCCGGGTGGCGGTATTCGACATCCTTCGGTCGTGAAACCACCGACTATCTCTGTTGCTTTTGGTTTTGTGCACACTGGTTTTGAGAGAGATTCTTCTCTGGTTTTGTCTCTCTGGAACTCTTTCTTGTGAATGAAAAGGCGGCCAAGGCGCGTCGGGACTGTCCTCCCATCCCTCTTTTGGACTGTACGTGTTCTTTCTTTCTTTTTCTTTCTTTAGGGAGAGACACAACACAGATAATCAGATTTTTTGACCCCCCTCCACTTCAGCTCCATCCACGTACGTGGCGTCCCGTCGCGCGTCGGGTCAGTTTTCTTCTCTGTTTATATGTGCAAGAACCGGGTTCCTCCCACCACAGAAAAATAATTATCATTCGGCAGAGGACCCAGGGCTGGAGCAGCGCGCAGCAGACCCAAGGCCAAGCCAAGATGAATGAATGAGTCGCTCCGCCGGGAGCGTCTCACATGACAAGAGAAGAAACATGCACATACATACATTCATTCATGACTCTCACTCAGCGCTTTGATCCCAATCACGACACATGTGTGACTCGCCTAGTGTGGAGACGCCGTGTACCGTGGGGCCTTGTTGTCCTCGCACGGGGGTACCCGTGTGTGTGTGTCTCGCGCCTTGCGGGGGAGGGAGCGGAAAGGAGGACCCGAGGTGAGTATAGGAGGAGAGTCAGGTGGCTATAAGCTGTGTGCCGCTCCCAGTCTGGTCGTGGTCGAGACCGAGGTGTCGAACTGAGAGGCACTACTGGAGGGTTCCTCCGGCCACCGCTCGACTACCCACGCACATGGCCGGTCCTGTGGCTTGCCTGTGGACTCGCTCAGAAGCCTCAATTCGCGCACACCTTTGCTCTCTGGCTCCCGCGAGTGCGTTCAGGCCACTCAAGCAGGCGACGCCGAGCACCCGCAATGCATCTCGCCGGGGCGCCACCTATCGACCCGACTGATTGGCAGCATCAAAGCCGACCCCATGACGGTCCTTCGGTGGCTGACGCAACTGCCGCGAGAGAACATTCCCCCGAGAGGGCGCCGAGAGAACATTCCCCCGAGAGGACAAAAGAAAGGCGTCGCACCCCCTCCGTGCGCAGTGTGCCCCCCGCTATGTGTCGCCGATTGGGGCACGCTCTCCTGTGCAGTCAGGGCAAGCGGGGGCGAGGCGCAGTCCCCCTGGTCTATACTGGTGTGGTTCTGTCCCTAGTCTCGGAGGGGGGCAAAAAGATAAGAATATCTATTTTTTGTGACTCCCATGGATGCAGTCGGGTGGGGCACGGTGCTGGGGGGCGGTCCGGTGCGCCACAACAGCCTCTTTTCCGCGCCCCCCCCGCAAGGCGCGCGATACACGCCTCCCTGGCTGACCCCCATCCAGTTCGACACCTCCATCCTGACCGTGGAACCCGTGACTGTCGTTGCTGTCTCTCCCTTCTCGACTGTCTGTGCTTGTTTGTGCGTCTTGGGTCCGTCCGGGGTTGTGTTTTGGTGAGGAACTCCAACTTCAACCGGTCAATCAAATAGAACGCAACGAGAACAACTCTCTCTCACAGCACACAGGTTCGACACAGGTACGCGACAGTACCAAAAGAGAGCTCAGTCGCGGGGGCGCCTACACGAAGGCGTCGAGGTGGGCGAAGGGGGTGAGGGGGATTAAAATTAACCCCGCCCACACCGCCTCAGGTTGCCCCTGCGCGCCGCTGCACGCTTGCCCGCCTTCTTCGCCCCGAGGGGCGTGGCCGTGGCAGGCGTCCTGCGTTGCCATCACGTTGTCGATCTTCTCGCTCGGCACCTTATATACATGCAGCGCCTCGGCCGCTTCGGGCGCCTGCTCTGCGTCGGGAGTCTCGGTGCGGCGTCGGCCGCCGCTGTGCGGGCGGCGGCCACGATGGCCGCTCGCGGTGTCGACTATGAAAAGCTCGGCGGGCGCGGGTACGGCTCGATAAAGTCGTGGGGCCGGGAAGCGGGACAGTTTGCGCTGAGGGATGAGGTGCCGTCGACCTCGTCCGACGGCTTCGAGGTGGCCACAGTAGCGGGCGGCTGTTTCTGGGGAATTGAGCTCCGACTGCAGCGGCTCGATGGCGTCGTCGCGACCTGCGTCGGGTACACGCAGGGGCGCACGCGAGAGCCCACGTACGACGACGTGTGCGGCGGAGGCACGGGCCACACCGAGGTCGCGCGCATGCAGCGCCGCAAGCTCCGTCGGGAAGCTGCTAGAGCGCGCGCGCTGTCTCGCCTTAGGCGGTGCAGCTCATCTATGACCCAGAGGTCCTCGCGTACTCGACCATCTGCGAGACGCTGCTCGCGTCGCTCGACCCGACCGCCGTGGACCGGGTGGGCAACGATTACGGCTCGCAGTACCGACACGGGATCTACTACCACTCGGACAAGCAGCGCGGGGTGGCAGAGGCGGCGATCGCGGACGCGCAGGCCAGAGCCGGCCGCCGCAAGGTGGTGACCGAGGTCAGGCCGGCGACGGTCTTTTGGCCCGCCGAGCAGCACCACCAGCAGTACCTGCAGCGCGGCGGCCGGTTCGGCTCGCCCCAGTCGGCGGCGAAGGGCTGCAGCGACCGCGTGCGGTGCTACGGGTGAGGTGGGGGCGGGGACGGGCACCGAGAGAGAGGCGAGGAGGAGCACAGGCTGCCGAGCGACTCCTGCGCGTCGTGCTCGCGGCGGTGGCAGTCGCGCAGAGCTGAGCAGCTGACGCAGCTGCCAGCTCCAGCGCAGCTCAGAGATCTCACGCCGCCGCGTGCCGCGGGCATCGACATCATCGAGCCTCGCATTCGTTCGCACTTTCTTTTTCTCGCTCTTCTATAATATCTTATCATCTTCGAGTTCGACTTGTCTCGTCGCCCCCGGGTGCCGGGTGTGGTCTGTGGAGAGATGCGAGGGACCTTTTGCCCCACCACTTTGTGTGGGGGGAGAAATTCACCTTACACCTTAGAAAACCAGCGAGTTTACTAGAACTAGATACTACTTACTACCTCATGACATCCCGGTTTCCACCGCTCGTCTTCCTGTTCTCGAAAGAAGGCGAGGAGGACGAGAGCGGCCCGCCGCACAGACCGCGAGCAGACAGCGCCCGCTGGCCGTCTCGAGACATTCGCAAAGAACGCTAGCTACATGGGAGGGCTTCGTGAAGGATGGATTGAAAAACATTCGAACGAAGAAGAGGCGACTGGAGGAACCGGCAGAGCACACTGCGGGACTGTGTGACTCCTGGGGTTTCTGGCATCTGGGACTCTTGAAGAGGTGTGCTGTCGCTATTCTCACAAGTTCGCCTCATGAGGCTCAACTCGGTTTTCTTTTTCAAGAGGACGAGACGGCTTTTAAGCCTTAACGCGAACGGAAGTCGGAACCCATGATCGGACGCACAGTCACAGATCGGACCCTGAGGATTCACCTGTCCCCGCGTCGGCTCTGTTCACATCACGCGGCTACCCGTGACCCGACCAGTAAGGGTGCGACGGCTGCAATCTGAACATACCGTAGTCCGCTTGCGACACCCGCACCCGTCACACGTAAAACGAATAAAGCCGGGACGACCCGCTTACGTACATGACAGATCACAACAAAGATCCACAGGCTCCTCGTGGGTGCGTGTGTCTCAGAGTCCTTCACTTGCCACAGCCCCACCCACGGACGCTCCCCATGGAGCGAAGGGCTGCAGTTGCGGGCTTGCGGCCATCTCAGCAGCCCGCGTCGAACACGACATGGAAGTCGCAGAAGGTTACCATCTCCGTTCCGGCCGCCTGCTCCCCCGGCCACTTCAGAGCGCTCAGCACCTTGCTCATTCGCGAGCGCAGCTCGTTCTCCAGGGCGCCGTGCTGCAGCGACCCGACGGGCCACCCGAGGAGATCCGCCGTAAAGTCGGCGCTGACGCGTTGGATGGCGAAGGAGGGCTCGTCGACGAAGCCCGTGCCTGCGAGGAAGCTCATGCCGAGCTGGCTGTCGAGGTCGAAGCCGAGAGCACACATGCGAGGCCCGAGACGGATGCCGAGCACGACGTCATCGCCCGCGGAGTCTTGGAAGCCGGTGCAGTGGAGGCTGACGTCAGAGAACACGCCGCTGTTGTGCGCCTTTTGCCACGCCACGTAGTCGGATGGATCCGTGTGCTTTGAGGTGGGCATGCCAATACGGGCGAGTAGGTCCGCGAGGGCGTCGTGAAGGTGATACTTGAGCCACGGGCCACTGTAGTCCAGCGACGTCTCGAGTGCGTGCTGGAGTGCTTCCTCGTCCGTGAAGTCGAAATATGGGCCGCGCGCCGGGTCCGGCTCGGCCTCGACGGGGTCGGAAGCGCCGCCCCCCATGCCGCTGGGGCCCTTGTACCAGCGTCGGCCAATGTACAGCAGGCGACGCAGCTCGCTGAAACTGAACTCGAGTCCATAGCACAGCGTCGCCTGCCCGGAGAAGAGATAGCCCTCCGCCTCCGGGTCGCCGCCATCTTTGCCGGCGGCCTTGAAGGCGACGCACGCAGGGCCATGCATCGATAGGGCGCCGAGCGGCAGCGTCGGCGGCCAGGCTTCGTACGCGTCCTCGTCCGAAGAGCGCTGCTCGCCGAGGTAATTGTAAGGCGAGTCGCCGGCCAGCCGACGCTGAAGCTCGGCTCCTGCACATCGGCGAAGGTGCGCCGTCCACAGGTCGGGCTCGTCGACGGCGCCAAAAATCTGGGGTGCGATTTGGCGTGCGGCGCTCTCGCGGAGCCACGCACGGACTGCGTCGAGGCGACGCTGAGCGAGGCGCAGCAGCTCCGGCTGCTGTGCTTCGAGCGCGGTGGCCCTCACAACCTCGCGCAAGCTCTCGGAGGTGCGTTGGAGCGAGAGGGCGCCCGTGGCCTTGCACGCGGTCGTGATGCGCGTCAGGAGCTCCGTTGGGAGAGTATCAAGCGACATGTCGCTGCAGGAAAATGTGTTTGCTGAGGTGTGGGCGTTTGGTTGTCCACAATCTGCTGCCGGGCCAAGTGAGAACTAGAGCACCCGTTCACAGCCATGTTATTCACACCGCGAGGGCATCTGCCGGCGCTCGTCTGCCAAAGTGGCGCCAGAGTGGAGAACTGGAGGCTGCATATTCAACTGGCCGAGGCGGTCTACCGTCCGGCGGCGGCGGTCTACCGTTCGGCGGCTGAAAAAGTGGGAGACGAGTCTACCGCGGTCTACCAAGTCTACCGGTAGACTGGTGTCGTAGGTTCATTACGGTCTACCGGTAGACTGCGGTAGACTCGTCTACCAAATGGTCTACCGTCTACCCCAGTCTACCCCAGTCTACCGGTAGACGGTAGACGGGCCACCCCTCAGGCGGTGTCCTGCTCTCTCCTCTGCACAGCTGCAAATTGCATTGTGCGCTCTCTCCACACGTGTCTAGTATGCAGAAACCATGCTCAAAACGTCGCTCGCGTCGGCTTTCATGATCATTAACTGGCGCTCTCAATTCGAGATCGCGCGCCGCGGTCTCAGCTCTCACACCGTCACAGGTGGAGTGAATTTAGTACTTAGTACATACAACGAGCGCGCGAAAACGTTAAATAAACCTGAGGCCTGTGGCTGTGCCGGCGCCCGCGCGGGCAAAACGCGCAATAGACAAAACCCAGCGTCGTCACCTCTCCGCGGACTGCCACGACACCCCTTCCTCCCCCTCGGGCTCGGCGGCGTCGGCCGCGACGCGCAGCGAGAAGGCGGCGTGGCAGCCCGCCTGGCCGGCGGGGCGGAGGTGCAGCTCCCCGCCGTGGTAGCGCGCGTGCAGTGCGGCGAGCGGCAAGCCCATGCCGAGGCCCTCGAAAGGTGCGCCTGTTCACGGGTGCAAGTGTGAAGAGACGCTGCTCACGGTTTCATGCCGAAGCCCTCGGCAAGAGGGGGCGCCGAAGGCGCGCGAGTAGGTGTAATTTGGCTCCCGCTCCTACGGCATGAATGCAACAGAGTCAGGGCGGGAAAGCGGTATCATGCAGTGCATTCAGAGCATCGTGCGAGCACAACTGCTGCAAACACAGCGAGTGCAGCTGAATACAGCGAATACGGCTGAACACGCGTCCTCTCGAGCTGCTCGGGACACAAGGACACGGACCAGAGGCTACTGCCGTGGCTGCAGCGGCTGCTGCAGTGGAGGTGCGTGCGCTTGAGGCGCGTTCCTGCGCGGCCGCACGGACTCTATATCTCGGCATACCTCGGCTATATCTCGGCTCCTCCCCGCATCTAGGCTCCCTCTGCCGGGTTTGTCGAGTGGAGGAAGCGCAACGCCTCCTCGGGCGCGCCGGCGAGGCCGCCGCCCGCGTCCGTGACGCCGACAAAGGCGGCACCGCCCCTTGATCCGTACCGCACGATCACCGGAGGCAGCCGGTCGAGACAGTCGGCGCCGACCGAGCGGCAGTGCGCTCCCATCGCATTCTTCAGCAGCTCGTGCAGCGCAAAGCCGACAAAGGGAGCGACGAGCACGCCGTCTGCTTGGGCGGCCTCGCCGCCCTCCTCGCCGCTCGCTCGGCCGCCCGTGCCGGGCTCGTCCCCGCCGCCGCTCGCCACCACCCGCTGCAGCCGCACCTCTGGGCTGTCGCCGTACTTCTCGCGGCAAAACGCGCGGGCGTCCTCAATGACGTCGGCGCAGAGAGAGGAGAGGAGGCTGCCTTCGAGGAGCATACCCCGTCGAGCCTCGGGGCTGGCGCCCGCGGCGGCGGATTGGACGAGTGCGCGGGCGCCGATGATGGCAGAGAAGGTGCCGTGTAGCAGCGCCTGCGCGGACGGAGACGAGCGGATGGCCGGCTCCAGGGAGCGGATCGCTGCGACCGCACGGCCCGCGCTGGCGTCTGCTGCCGCGAGAGCGTCGGCGTCGGACGACTGGGCAGAGGCCTCGTCCCAGCCGCGCACGAGGTGGCCGGTGGCGTCATCGAACGCAGCGGGCAAGCGCAGAGCGCCGAGCGCAGCGCGGTGGCTGGCAAGCCGCTTCCGGAAGGCAGCGGAGAGCTCCGCCGCCGGGATGTGGAGGAGGTCGAAGCGGCTAAAGCGCCGCATGCCAGGCCAGGAGAGTTGGCCGTACTCGAGTACCCGGTAGATTCCTAGCCCTGGGTTCCGGCTCCTAGCCGGATAGGGGGTCTGCTGCTGGCCCCTCCCAGGGGCATAGGTAGGTAGGTTGGTCTTGTTTCGTCCAAAACCCTGCAATAGGTAGGTACCCCCTATTTTCCTCTTTTTCGCTTCGCTGCGCCGCGGCCTGGGGATAGGTAGGTAGGTAGGGCGTTTTGGCGCGAGTCAGTGGCGACAGACCCCCTATCCGGCTAGGAGCCGGAACCCTGGTCGCTGCGAGGAGAGGCACAGATGCACAGATGCACTCTTCGATGTCTCCTTGGGTGGGCGGGGCGGGGCCTCTACTCGCCCGGACAACCGAGTCGGCGGGAACGGCGTCCCCTTCCGGGAGGTACACGTCGGACGTCCACGAGCCGTCCCACAGCTTGATCTCCACCTCGGTGTTGACCGTGGTGAGGATTTCGGTCAGGCGCGCTGCGCCGGGGTCGTTGAGCGGATTAAGGTTGGCCTGACCTTGAACGACGTGCGGGTCGTTCAACGAGTGAGGGAAGGCCAGCGAGGGGTCGAGGTTCGGTACCCACCCGGCCTGTTTTGGGATGTTGTTTGGGTGCTCCATCGGCGCCGATCCGAGAAACCTTTCGTCTCCGTCGAGCACCCGCATCACCAAGGGGTCGGCATCGCTCACCAAGCCGTCGGAGGGTTGAAACATGACCAGTGTCTTTCGCTGCGCTGTGAGGTGGGGTTGGGTGTCATCGCCAGCGACCCGGTGTTTCGACGGCATGATCTGCGCCTGCGCAAACAGCACCGTCCCCGTCAGGTCCCCGTCGGTGTCGCTCGGCCACTCGTTGTCCCAAAAGACCACGTTGGGAAGAGGGGGGCCGACCGGCGAGAGAGGCGATGCCGGCCTGGCCGGCAGCGGTGGCGGAGAGGGCGACGGAGAGGGTGGCGCCGGGGGGAGAGGCGGGGAGGGCAACGGTGGCGATGGCGGTGAGACGCACGTAGCCCCAGGGTCGTGACAATCGACAACGGTGTAGAGGTCCCACAAGATGTGTTCTTTGGGCGGGTCTGCCTCGCTGCAGCAACGACAGCCCCAGTAGGGTGCTGCGCTTGAATGCATAAAGACGTCGCACCCCTCTGCACCCGCGGCGGCCGCGCAGAGCTCCGGTGTGGAGTGCGGTCCAAGGTTGACTCGCTGCGAGAAGCACTCGGCGTCGGCGGTGCGGACGGAGTATGAAAACCATGGCGACAGCGGGCTTGCAGGGGGAGGCGGCGAGGGTGACAGCGACGGCGGAGGTGGCGAGGGAGAAAGCGATGGCGGAGGTGGCGAGGGAGAAAGCGACGGCGGAGGTGGCGAGGGAGAAAGCGACGGCGGAGGTGGCGAGGTAGAAAGCGACGGCGGAGGTGGTGAGGGAGAAAGCGACGGCGGCGGAGGTGATTCGCAGAGACCACACGCCAGCTTGCACTTGGAGCGAATCTTCCGTTTCTTGTTGCACTTCCTCTTCTTCCTCTCACATTTTGCGTCCGACCACTTGTTTCTGCAGGACCTGCTGGCACTCCTGCTTCCCCTCTCGATAAACGAGTCATATGAGGCGTCATAGCTGTACTCGTAGTCATAGCTGTGTGGCACGGTGGAGAAGGTTGTGCTGCGCGGGGTTGGCGTGCTGTGAGGCAGGGGTGCGTCGCCGCTTGCCCCCACCGCCGCCGTCGCGAGCACGATGGCGCGCGATGAGCTGGCGCGAAGCATGAAAACGAGCGCCGGCGCCCGCCGCCGGCCGCGAAATCAGGTTCGTCTATGTTCAAGTTTAGATTTTCATGATTAGATCCTTTCTTGTTTCGGCAGCGTATCGTTCAAAGCGCGCGAGACACACATCTTCTTCACACGGCCTGATTGTGAATGAGCTTGAGTGGTGAGGGCGGTCGAGTGCACGGCACGGAGCGAAGTGCCTCTCCGTCCTCGCAGGAGTCGCTTGGCGGCTCCCGTTGTGTACCTGTGTTAATAAATAAATAAATAAATACGAGAGTCGCGAAAATTCTTGTTTTCGGACCGGCCGGAAGGCGGCTTCAAACGAGGTGCCGCGGAGCGGCGGCGGCAGAGGTGCGGCCGCCGGTCTCACACGGTGTCGAGCGCCGTAGAGAGACGCCAGTCGCGGTCGCATGGGCCGCTTCCACGTGCGAGTCCGCTCCTGGGGCGAGAAGCACGGGCAGTTCCGCGCCAGCACCCGAACCTCGGAGGCGCACTGTTGCGACGATGCCGCCGCAGCCAGCTCTCTCGCGCTGCCGCTGCCCGACAGCTCTCTCCCTTGTCACGTCGCGGGTGCCGCGGACGGCTCGCTGGAGGTTTACCGCACCCTCAAAGTCAACCGAGCTGGGCTGCGAAAGTCTCGGCTGCTCATCATCGACGACCCGGCCGGCGTCATTCGCCAGCTGAAGCCCGACGGCAGCGTCAAGTTCGAGACGCCGGTGGCTTCCGTCGCGAGCGTCGAGCGAACCGCTGGCTCGCACGGCGTGGTGCTGGGCTGCATCGACGGGGCCCGCCTCTGTCGGCGGCAGTACGAGTTCGCCACAGGACTCGAGCGCGAGAGCTTTGTGTTCGCGCTCAGCTCGTCCATGCGCTGCCTTGGCCTGGCTGCTCCGGCCGCCCGGGCCTCGCCTGTCACGCGGGTGCTGGTCGCCACGTGGAACATGGGCGGCGCGCCGCCGCCTCGGGGAGCGCTCAGCAAGTGGCTCGGGGACACCGACGCCGCGCTCGTCGCAGTCGGAGTGCAGGAGGCGCCGGGTGGCGGCGACTTGCGAGCGCAGCTGCAAGACTGCCTCGGCGCACCTGCTGCGCCGGGCGGGGGGTCCAGCAGCTCGGCTGGCTACCTCTCCGTCGCCTCCGTCAGCCTCGTCGCGATGCGGCTCCACGTCTTCGTGCGGGCGCTAAACCTAACCCAAACCCTGACCCTGACCCTGACCCTGACCCTGACCCTGTCCCTGTCCCGGTCCCGGTCCCTGTCCCTGACCCTGACCCTGACCCTGACCCTTACCCTGACCCTGACCCTGACCCTGACCCTGACCCTGACCCTGACCCTGACCCTGTCCCTGACCCGGTCCCTGACCCTGACCCTGACCCTGACCCTGACCCTGACCCTGACCCTGTCCCTGTCCCGGTCCCTGACCCTGACCCTGACCCTGACCCTGACCCTGACCCTGACCCTGACCCTGACCCTGACCCTGATAAAGGCGGACCTCGCGCACGAGCTCTCGGCCGTCGATACCGGCTACCGCGCCTAGATGCAACCCCTTGCCACCGTGTGAGTGTGTCCACGCAAAAGCACAGCCCCGGGCCCAACACGCACAAGCACAGACAGTCGAGAAGGGAGAGACGGCGACGGCAGCCACTGGCCGACTACAAGGCGGAGAGGAGTGGCCTTGATGCCGGATGCAGGCCCCCGATGTCCCATCGCACGCGAGGCGGCATGCGCTCGGCTGTACTCTGCTGAGATCACTGCACTCAGCAGCACTCGCATCCATGAGCAACGGTTCGATGCCCCCAAGCCCGGCCGTGGTCATACGCCAGGCTACCGCGCCACCGGCATCGGCCACGTCTACGGAAACAAGGGCGCCGTCGGCGTCGCGCTGCGGCTCGCCGGCGACTCGTTCGCCTTCATCAACGCTCACCTCGCGGCGCGGCCGGAGAAGGTGGCCGAGCGGAACGCAAACATCGCCGACGTCATCGGGACAATGCCGCTCGGCCGGCGGGGGCATAGCCGAGACATAGCCGAGACACAGCCGAGACATAGCCGAGACATAGCCGAGACATAGCCGAGACACAGCCGAGACATAGCCGAGACACAGCCGAGACATAGCCGAGACATAGCCGAGACACAGCCGAGACATAGCCGAGACATAGCCGCGACATAGCCGAGAGACGGCCGGTACATAGCGGAGATGTGGCATCGAGACGGCGGGAGCTAGCAGGGCAGACGCCACTCCAAGAGTGGCACCGCACCGGAGACCGCGCGCCGAGCGACAGGCGGGGGCGGCTCAACGCCCTGCTACCACACCACCCACGGGACTGAACCCACACTGGATTCGAGACTCTGGAGGTATGGTAGGCGGGGCGGCCTGGAGCTCTCGGACCGCTTCGACCACTGCTTTCTGTTTGGGGACCTCAACTACCGGGTCGACGCCCCCTTCCAAGTTGCGGCGGAGCACGCCATGCGCATCGCCGCGTCGCCGCCGCCGCACGGGCCGACCGCGCCGCCGGACAGCGGCGTCGGCTGTGCGATCGGCACCCCTCACGAGGCGGCGGAGGGAGGCACCTCGGTCGGGAGGGCGCCCAACCTGGCCTCGCTCCGCTGCCTGCTCGCGCAGGCACACACACACACACACACACACACACACACACACACACAGAGAGAGAGAGAGAGAGAGAGAGAGAGAGAGAGAGAGAGAGAGAGAGAGAGAGAGAGAGATGCCCGGCCCTTGCCCCCCACCTTGTGTGTGTGTGGAGAAGCTTACCGCACCTGACCTGACCTCAGGACCAGCTCCGGCGCGAGGCGGCGGACGGGCGCTGCGCCCACGGCTTTTGCGAGCCTCGCATCGGCTTCGCGCCCACGTACCGCTGGGAGGTGGGGATTGGCGGGCCGCGCCAGCTCTCGAACAAGCATACGCCGCCCGCCGAGGGGAGGGAGCGCGGTCGCACCGCACCCAGCGGCACCGGTGTCGGGTAGGCGGAACCAGGCGCCGTCGTATTGCGACCGCGTGCTCTACCGCTCCCTCCGGCCGGGCAGCGTCACTCCGCTCGAGTATGCGACCGAGCCGTCGCTCGTCTCGTCGGACCGCACGCCTAGAAGCGGAATCTCTCCGCATATCTCCCCCCATATCTCCCCATATCTGGCGGCACACACGCCCAGAAGCTGAGTACGGGTTCTTGTACTCCAACTGGCGCCCGAGAGGACACGCACTCCGCTGTCTTCACCCGCACTCCACTGTATTCACTGTACTCCTCTCCGTTGTCTTCACGCGGTGCTCTGAAGGCGCTGCACAACACCGTACTCGCGCCCTGAGGTTGGCGTATTCTGCTTCTAGGACCACACGCCGCTGCGAGCAGCCTTCGAGGTCGCCCCCTCCGCCGCCGACGCACACAATGCCGAGTGCCCTCCCTGCTCTCCGTGCCGTGCGGACGAGGGGCGGGCAGAGCTGGCCAGCCGAGGGGCGAGCTGCGCGGGCACGCTTGCACACTTCGCGGAGGATTCCGCGGCGCCGCACGGCCGTCGGCGCGCGCTAGCGGACGCTCGCGCGGTGGCGTCGGGCGCGGGCAGAGGCGTGGCGCGCGCCTTTGAGCAGCCCGACCGCGCTTCGGAGGCGCTGACTCTGCGCCTGGAGGATGTGGAGCTGCAGCTGTCGGGCGCCGCCTGCGCCGCGCTGCTCGCAGCCGCGCCTGCCGACGAGGCGGTGCCGCTCTCCCTCTCCCTCCACGGCGAGCTGCTCGACCAGCCGCGCAAGGAGAGCGCCGCCGAGGCGCGCGGCGGCTGGTCTGCCGACTCGCCGATCCGGTTCGAGCCAAACGCGGCGCCGGTCCGGACGTTTGCCGTGCGGCCCGCGCAGCTGCGGCGGCGGCCACTGCTCCTCGCGCTGCGGTCCGGTCGCTGCAAGAGGGACGGCGAGGTGAAGAAGCACTCGTCCGGCGCGCTGCTCGGGCAGGGCGCGGTGCCGCTGGACGGCTTGCTGCCGGGCGCGCCGCTGCCCTTCCGCGTGACGCTGCTGCGGTACGGCCTGCCGGTGGGCGCCGTGAGCGGCTCGGTCTGGCTGGGAGACGCGGATGGGGCGCCCCTCGGGGCGAGCTTTTGAGTATTGCGAGAAAGCTCTGTACGTAACAAAACTCCTCGAGACTCGTGTATGTCCCATATACCCGTGTGGAATACTTTGACTACGGTACCACTACGTCGACTCTGCCTGCGTGCGCACATAGAGCCCCCCGGTAACGAGGAGGAAGGAGTCAAGAAAGAGTCACCAATCGTGTCAGAGTACGGCTCTAAAAGGATCATCTTCGATCTCCTCAGCCTCCTCGGAGCAGCGTTCGCACAGTCTGCCGTGGTCGTCCCACACCTGGTCCTCGGCATTGTACTCTAGGCAAGGCAGGCAGCGCTTGCGCCGCTTGCACCGTTCGCACGTGCTCCAGTGCGCCGCTCTGCACGACGCGCAGAAGTACATCTCGCAGCATTTGCATGGCTTCGTCCTCACGATCTTTGTAGGGTTGATCACATCGACGCAGCTGTCGCACATATTGTTTCGGGTCATGTCCCCTTGGCTTGCGACGACAAAGTGGGGGCTGCTCGCGTCCACCCAGTCCAACAACAGCTCTGCGAGCTGGGCCATCGGCTTCACGATCCGCGCCACCTCTCCGCCATCGAGGGCGCGAGGGTGCCTGTGCTCGGAGGATGCGCGCCGCAGATCGGCGGAGAGCAGCGCGACAGAGCCCTGCAGCGGGGACAGCCCGCTCCCCGTGACCGAGACGCAGCCTCTGAGCGAGATGGACTTCGTGTGGGAGCGGGCGTCCACACGCGTCAGGAGCGCTCGGAGCTGGGCGTCGGACAGCTTGTGGCGTGATTTCTTGCTCAGAAACTTGATATGCTGCCACAAGCGGCCATCGTTCGTGATTCGTTGCAACGTCTTGCAGGAGGCGCCAAAGGCAAACAGCGACGCATAGGTGAGCTTGCGAGCCGAGCCGGATGCGCCACCGACGACGTTGAGCAGGATCTCGTCCGGGAGCGAGGAGAAGTCTGGCGAGCGCGCGGCCTCCGCCGCGGGCTGCTGCCGTGTGGAGGGCATTGTGGTGAGGCGGCCGCGGGCGGTGCGGGCGGCGCTTGCTCGGGCGAGGCGGCGGCGGGAGCGGCCTCGTCCTGGTTTAGTTTTTTTTATATACCAAAAGGAGGGCGACACGAGGCCCTCTACGCTGGGGCGCCGGCGCCCTACTGGGCGCCCCCCGCTCCCTTTTGTTTTTAGTTTTGAGCTTACAGTCTGTTGCGGGCATTAAGATAAACAGGATCCCGCGGCACGCCGCCGTTTCTAAGCCTTTCCACCCACCCCACCCACCCCACGCCGTGTTTTCTTAGCTTCGGCCGGCACCCCAGGTCAGCCGGGATCTAGGAATTTTTAGGTAAAATGACAATAAGGAAGCGCTCGATGCGCCAGTCAGCAGTCTTGGGATGACAGGAAGACGCACACACCTCCATCCACACCGCCCAGAACACCGCAGACTTGGGCAAAATGACAAGTGCGCGCGCCGCAGGCGAAGAGAAAATTTGAGCGGGGCTCCTGTTCACACTCGTGTGTGGGCCCTTTCTTTCTTGGGGCCGCGCCTGCGGCGCGCCGTGGTTCTTAGATTTTCGCCTGAGGGAGGGTGTAGAGGATGTAGAGTGTAGAGCGCTGTAGAGCTGTAGAGCTGGAGAGCGCTGTAGAGCTGTAGAGCTCTACATCCGCCGCGTGACGATGTGAGTCGCCTGTAGAGCGATGTAGAGGCGCTCTACAACGTGAAATATCTACAACAAACTCTACATCATAAGCGGCGAACGAGGCACGGTCGCTCTCCGACATGAGGCGCGTTGCACTTGCCAGTGCTGCCCTAGCCTTCTGTCTGCCCGCCCAATGGGTGGGAGGTGCCTCTGCTGCTGTGGCATGCCTCACGGCTGCGACTGGCCGGCGCCTCGGCGCGTCAGCTCGGCTCGGCGTAGCGATAGTGGCCAGCGCAACTCGCCTGGACTCAACGCTCAGCCAGGAGCTCCCGCACGCGCTGGCGCGAGTCATGGCGCATGCAACGCGTCTGAATGCTCGCCTCGCCTCGCGCAAATGCGACCGTCCTCGCAGCCGACAGTCCACCGCCTGCTAAAGAAGCACAGCGACGAATGCGGCACTGGCGACGCATGGCAGGCTGGTCATGACGCAGTCATAGGGTGTTGTGTGCCGTCAGAGTGACTCTCTGTGTGTCAGGGATAGTCAGGGCTGTCCATCAGAGCTCCAGTAAGCTCGGAGACACCCCATTAGCGCGGCTCGACCTCTTTGAGTCACTGCCTTCCCGGCGGTTTGGCTGTAGAGCCTCTACAACAAACTCTACAGCAAAATCGCGCTCTTGCGCGCCAGCCCCGTCCGCCGCCGGCTCCGCGGACGCGGTCCCTGTCATAGCTACGCGCACCATGGGTCGATGTGCCCGCCGTGTCGGTGTTGCCCAGGACTCCATCTTCATGTCATCACGCACTGGGTGGGGGGTAGAGGGTGCGCGGTGCGTCCTAATCTAAAATCCGAGGATTAAGGATTCAGGCATCGCTTCAGTGAGGCCAAAGTGAGTTTATGGATGTGTGAGAACGGCACTGTGGACACCGAGGAGTCACGCGCAGCCGATCAGCTCCCGCGGCCTGGGTGATGGCAGTGGCACTCTCTGAGGCTCCCTGATTTTTCTGGTATTTGTTGAGCACTCTCTGGTCACCTTGTTCGCCGGGCGAGCCTGGCTCGTCTCGCTGCACAGCGGCGCGACCCGCGGTGAGGCTGCCGATCGTCGAACTGGGCTTAGCTCTCAGTCAAGATATTGTGCATATGGTCGGTCTCTACAATATCTTGACTGAGCACGACCGATGAATCGGCAGCACGGAGACAGGAAGGCTCACTGTGTGAGTCTCGCGGCCGCAGCCGCCCGAGACTGCCGCGGCGGACATGCTGCGCAAGCTGGCCGCCGAGGGCGTCGCGCCCTGAGCGAGCGCTGGGGGGCAGGGCAGGGGGGGGGGGGGGGTGCACAGGTGCGACAGGCGAGCTTCTGCTCAGCTGGAGCTGTTTTACCCAGACGTCGAGACATTCTGTGCTCTCGGCTTTTTTATGCTCGACGCAGCGTTGGGAGAGAGAGAAAGAATGAACTCAGACACCCAAGGGTGGGATGGGAGGACGGCACGCCGCCACCAGGGATTCTAATGGAGTTTTGGCTCCGATAGCCGTCGCCCACCCTTGCTGAAGAAGAGAAGAAAATCTCTCTCTCTCTCTCCCTTGCTTGGGCGTCTTAAAATCCCTGTGTGGTGGCGGCGTGCCGTTCTCCCATCCCTCCCTTGGGTTGTGTCTTTTCTTTCTTTCTTTCTGGGCGTCTGCCTCTTCCTACATGCACATGCAGCACAAGCAGCACATGCACATGCACATGCACATCTCTCACTTCGCAGTCCCTTGCGATGATTCTTCGTCCTGCTCCTTTCCTTTGCAGCGATTTCTTCAAAAAACGCAATGCCGAACGCTACTTGTCGCCAACACGAAAAACGCCGAGATCCTCATCCTGTTTCGTGCGTGTTGCCACCGAAACTGAAATTGCCAGAAGAGATTGCAGAGGTGCCTCATGGTTGCCTCTCGCCTCGCCCCTCGCCCGGCGCGACGCAGCGCGAGATGAGAGCTGCCCCCGCGCGGGCCCTCTCGCCTCGCCCCACAACCACCACTGCAGCGAGCCCGTGCCCGGCTGCACGCCGTGCTGCGACCGCCGCCGCGCGAGCGGCTCGCTCCGAGGATCGAGGCGAATCTGGCACAATCGGATTGCCGGTCTGAACGCTTCTGAGCGCGCGGCCGCGGGTCGCCTTTATGCCTACTGCGCCCCCGCGACCCCCAAAACAAGCCCGCGCCATGCTCGTCCCATTTTATGCTTCTGACGCTCGCGCGCCGCCTCCTGCGCCCTCGCAGATCCAAAACAACGTGGGCGAGGCGGGTGTGCCGCGGTGTCCTTGGTGCCGGGCCTCAAGCTGCGTGCGCTGCGAGTAGGTGCGGCCCTCTTGAGCCCCCCTTCCAGTCGATCCCCCCCTCAAAGACGCTCTCAAAGCAGAGAGAAGCAGCACTGGTGCCCGGAACACGATGTGCAGCAATCAGAGCAGGAGATTAGCCGAGATTGGCCGAGATTCAGCCGAGAATTCGTTAATTAACATAATTGACGGAACTTTGACGAACTTCGTGGAATTGCTCTGGGGCATCATTGCGCCACGAGTTGACTAAATTGACGAGATCACCCCGAGAGTTCGTCAATTAGCATAATTGATTAGGAGGGCCGAGATTGCCCGAGATCGCTTCCGGGACCGGTATGGCACTTCCGCACCTCTTTGTGGAGGCGCTCTATCGCTCGTTCTGACGCGCCACCCGAGATTGCCCGAGATTTTAATCAAGTTTCGTCAATTAGCATAATTAATTGCCCGAGATTACCCGAGATCGCCTCCGAGACCGGTATGGCACTTCCGCACCTCTTTGTGGAGGCGCACTATCGCTCGTCCTGATGCACCACCCGAGATTGCCCGAGATTATCATCAAGTTCCGTCAATTAATTGTAATTGACGAAATTTGACCTAAATTTGGGAGCGCCCCTCCTCCCCCCCTCCCCCGCCCGTGAATATCACACACCCGCCATCCACCGCCCCCTATCACAGGTACGAGTGAACTCGATCAACAACATGAACATGTCAGAGAACAAGACGGAAGTGAAGGCCCGCATCATGCCGGCCGAAGACGGCAGCATCAAGGTTGTCTTCTTCTCCGCGCCGACGTCGCCTCCGCTCCTCGGAGCAAAGGCGGTGCGTGTGCGCGTGTCGCAGATCTCCACTCTCCTCCCAACACGCTCCCCGTTCTCGCTCGCCGACAGGCGAGCGGCGCCAAGAACGCACCCGTTGAGGACGTCACTGTGGCCGAGTCCGGCGCAGAGGCGCCCCTCGACGAGAGCATCCTCAAGCAAGACCCGGCCGCCGAAGAGGCGACCGCCGCGGAGACGGTCGACTCGGACCGGGCCAAGGCCACGTTTGCCGCCCACAAGCCGCGCGCGAACGCCGTTTTCTGGTCCAAGTTTGTGCGCCCGACCGACCCACCGCCGGCCCGCACCGAAGACGCTCCGGCTCTCAAGCCGGTCACCGAAGACGCGCCGGCCCTCGAGCCGGTCACCGCCGGCGGCTCGCCGCTGCCGTCGATCAAGGAGTTTCCGGAGGAGGAGCCCGCCCCGGCGGCGAGCGCCTGGCTCTACGCGCCGGCGTCTGCCAACCCACTACCTACCCCGTCTCGCGTTTGATGCGTATAGGGCGACGCCGACTGGAACGTCTCGACCAAGGAGTTTCCCGTGGAGGAGCCCGCCCCGGCGGTGAGCTTCCCACCACCTTTCTCTGCACACGCGGGTATTGCGGTGACACGGGATTCCTACAGGCGGGCACTTATATTGATCCTGTGACCTCTGCCGCACGTCGCGCGCAGGGCATCGACGAGTGGAAGACCCCCTCCCCGCTCCGCAAGATCGAGCGCAAGGGCGAGTCCAACCTGATCGACCGCTCCAAGAAGACCACCAAGAACCCCACCCCGATCGGCCGCGTCGACCCCAACGGATTCGCGGCGCTGCTCGGAACGGACGTCGACGAGGAAGACCTCGCTGACGTCGGCTCCGGAAAGGCGTCTTCGCCGTCGTCGCCGCCGTCGTCGACGACGCGTTCGGCGCGTACTGCCCCGCCCGTTCAGCGCACCCTGCCTGCTCGTGACAAACGCTCGTCCGCGTGCAGGGCGGCGCCGGGGAGAAGACCGAGCCGACCTCGACGCGCTCCGGCTTCCGCTTTGGCAAGTTCTGCTCGACAAAGCTGCTGTGCGTCTTCCTCACCGTGGCGGTCGGTCTGGGCTGCTCGGCCTTTGCACTCTCTTCGTACCGCTCTGGCGGCGTCTCCTCCGAGCTCCTCGAGTCGGTGTTCGTGCCGGACGCGGCCGCGATCCCGGTGAGCCCCCGATGGACTCCCCGAGCCTCTCTGTGCAGTCGGTAGGCTGACACTCGTCGTCGGGCTCGCCTCCGCTGTACAGGACGAGGATGCCGCGTTGGCGTGCCGTGAGGCAGGGCTACAGGTGTACGCCTCGAACAGCTCTCTCTACGGCCAGCTCCGCATGTCGTTTAGCAAGATGTACCAGGCGTGGCCGCTCGTTGTGTGCGAAGCGCTGGCCCCCGAGGAGGACGCGTCGCTCACGGTTCGCGAGTTGCTCAAGTTCCGTCCGCCGACCCAGGACCAGATGCAGCAGGCGACGGGAAAGATACAGCATTTTGTGGCCATTTCCCGGCAGAGGAATCTTTCTTTTGCCATCCGCAGCGGCGGGCACTCCAACGCGGGTTTGTCCTCGACGGTCGGGCTCAGTACGCTCGATGTGCGCGGCATGTCGATCGTGGAGCCTAAGTTTGATTCGATGACTGTGACGGTCGGCGCGGGCGCCACCGCAGGACAAGCCCAGTTCAGCACGGTCAACATCACCACAAACTCCGACACCTTCGGAGCCGCCCTGCCAGTCGGGCAAAAGCCGTCGGTTGGCATGACGGGACTGACGCTCGGTGGTGGATTCGGTTTCCTCACGCGCTACGCAGGACTACTGTGCGACCGGCTCGTCTCTCTCGATGCCGTGCTGCCGTCAACAGGGGAGATCGTTCACGCCACTGCCGACATTCACAATGAGTACCACGATCTCTTCTGGGCCTCCTGCGGCGGCGGCGGCGGCAATTTTGCGGTTGTGACCGAGTTCGAGTTCAACATGGTGCCCGTCTGTGGCGTTACGTCTGACTCAGACATCCCGGCCGGGGCCCTCCAAGGGCCCCTTGAGCAGTATCCATGCGATGTGGTGATGCTGCATTTGTTCGTGCCGCTCGACCGGCCCGGCCTTCTTAGTTGGTATCAGGAGTGGAGCATGAGGATGGACCCGCGCATCACGCCTAATTTTGAGGTGAGCTGCACCTGATCCCACCAACGCTAGCACGACCTCGCCTGACCCTGACCGCCCTGAGTAGGTGCAAAACAAGACTCACGGCTTGATTGCCGGGATCTTCATCGGATCAAAGGAGATGTTTCGCAGGGCGCTCCGTCTAGCAAACCCGACCGACCGTCACTTCATTCCGGTCACGGTGCAAGAGCTCTTTGACGCCGCCACCGTCAAGACGTTTGCGCAGGCCACAACGGACCTGACAGGATGGACGCCAAATGCATCAACGGATGTGCTTGTGCAAAGCTTCCTCGACGAACGCTCCTACTTCAAGTACAAATCGCTCTTTCTGGTGCAGCCGCTCTCGGAGGACGGTCAGGCGATCCTACGTGATTACGCTGTGGTCTGCGGCGAGGAGGAGGAATGTGGAACCGGCACAAACTTCACTGTTGTGTTTGAGTTCCAAGCAATGGGCGGCGATCCCTCGGCCCAGCTGCCAGGTGGCAATGCCGCTGGCCTCTTTGACGACGGCTCGACCTTTACCTACACGTTTGCGCCCAACAACTTTTCGCGCATCCCCGTTGAGTCCACGGCCTTTCCTCAGCGGAACGCCCTTCACTGCCTGATGCTCAAGGCCAACTCCGCGACCGAGGAGGGGGGCGACGTTGCCTTTGCGCACATGGAAAACGTTTACAACATGCTTCTTCAAACCGAGCAGGTCCAAAACGGAATACGAACCGAAGGGCGGGAGGGCCAACCCGTAGTCAGTTATGTGAATCACATTGACGCCAATTTGCCAGAGGCCGAGTTTGCGCAGTTCTACGCCGGAGTCAACTCCCTGAAAAGCGCCTCGGCATTTTGGACTCCCTCTCCAAGTCTCGCAGAACTCTCGACCGACTTTTGGATCAACAAGCTGAAGCAGGTCCGCTGCAAGTACAATCCGGACGGATTGCTCTACGTAAACCCGCTCCTCGCAGGTCTCGCCGGCGGGCCGTGCACAAATGATGTAGTCTCACAGTGCAGCGTTCGCACTGACGGCGAGGAGTGCGCCATCGGCGGGCTCGGCACCTGCTCGTGCCCCGTGGCGGGCCGCCAGATGCTCTTCTCCACCCGACCTGTTGACCAATGCGAGTGCGTCCCGCGGCACAGTGAGCCATTCCCGTGATGGCCATCAGTTGGCCACACGCCCCTCTCCCTTAGTCCATAACCGCGAGTCCACAGCGCACAAGAGATGCTGGCGTGGAGCCTAACTGTTCCGCGCCGTATGTGTGACGAGAGCGGGGCCTGTGAGCACGTTTGAAAACGGGCCGCCACGCGGTGCGTGGAACCCGCCCCCCAGTGCCCCCACAGCTTGTTCGCTCACAGTAGAGAGGTGTCCGTTTTTATTTATTTATTTATGATCAGTTCTAATGCAGGTACCGGGGCCCAACGGATAGATGAATCCGGGGCACCCTCCGCTCGAAACCCTGGCTTAGGCTAAGCCTTAGGGGTTCGAGGCGGCCCCCACCCTGGGGGGCCTCCCATCAAAGGGACTGCGGCAGAAGACGCCCAATCTTGCACACAAAAAAGAAAGAAAACAGCCAACGCAACGGAGGGATGGGAGGACGGCACGCCACCACCACACAGGGATTTCAAGGGGAGAGGTGTGGTGCTAGCCGTCGCCCACCCTCGCGCCTCGGGCGTCTACCACTTCCTGGGATAGGGGAGGAGGACAGGGTCCACACCTGCACGAGCAGGATTTTGGAAGGACGATCAGGGGGACAGGTGGGCTCTCTTGCACATGACAGACCCGTGTGCGTTTTCTCTCTTTGCCGCGGTTGCAGGATACGCTCTTGCAATACGCTCTCAGCTCGACGCATTTCGATGGGCAAGGTCGAGGAGAGGAGGCTGCCGACGGCTCCGGCGACGCCGGGTCCGCGCAAGGCCAAGCCAAAGAAGAAGAAGAGGGACAACGGCAAGAAGAAGGCGAAGCGGATGGCCGCAGCGGCGCTCTCAGCGGAAGCATCTGCGGCGGCCGCAGCGCTCTCTTACGCCGTCCCGCTGCCCATTCCGTGCGTGTACTACGACCCGGCCTTTCTGAGCCGTGCAGAGGCGGACGCGTACTACGACCTCTTCAGCGGCTCGGCCATTCAGTGGGCCAGCTCCGCCGTCTCACGCCGCCCGACCGCCCTGTACGGCAATCCCACCGTGCAATACCACGGCCCGCGCCGCGCAGACAGCCTCAACCTGCCTGCCGTCGGGTACGCCTCGGACGAGATGCACCCGTGGACGACGGAGTTGCTCGAGCTCAAGGCGCCGCCACCAAGGCCCGCTCTCTCGGCAACAGCACCCATTTTGCGGCCAGAGCGCCTCGCAAGCGCCCCGTTGCCGGCAGCACACACACCTCCGCCGCACACCTCCGCCGCACACCTCCGCCGCAGGCCAAGGCGGAGGCGTGGCACTTGCACACCACCGGCCTCGCGGTCGAGTTTGCCGTCTGCCTGCTCAATAAGTACGGCGAGGCGGACGTCCTCGGGGGGCCCAGGGACCGCGAGGAGTTTTTCTGCCCGCCTGCCCCCCCCCCCCCCCCCCTCTTCCCTCCCTCCCCGACCCGCTGATGTCCCGCCGCGCGCACACGCCCTCTCGTCCGCGCACGATTTGTGCACCACCCGCCGCGCTCTCAACTTCCGCGGCGGACCCGCCACAGCACCGAGCTCTCGCCTCGCCAGGAGATGGACCCGGCTCTCGGCGCGCCGCGCACCTCGCCGATCGCCTCGATCTCTCTCGGCGCCACGCGTCGCTTCGGTCGGCGGCTCCAGTCGGCCGTGCACCCAACCAGCAGTTCGTTCCTCTGAATTCAATCGCTATGAGTGAAGGTCTGCGGCTCAAGTCGGACGTGGACTCGCCTTCTACGAACCTTCTAGGAACCTTCTGGGAACCTTCTAGGTCTGCGGCTCAAGTCGGACGTGGACTCGCCTTCTACGAACCTTCTAGGAACCTTCTGGGAACCTTCTAGGTCTGCGGCTCAAGTCGGACGTGGACTCGCCGCTGCCCCCGCTGCACTTGGCGCACGGCTCGCTCACAGTGATGGAGAATGCCTGCCAGCTGCTCTACCACCACTCGGTGAGAGCCACGGAGGCCCCTCAGTCACAGGGATGGAGAGAGTGGTGGAGACTGCCTGCCAGCTGCTCGCCGCCGACCCCCCACGCCGCGCGCACCCACACCGCCCGTGGAGACGGGGAGAGAAGGGCAGGCATGTCGCCTCGCCCAGTAAGCGCCGGGGGACCGCATGCACGTGCGCGGATCTCCGGGCGAGATTTCGGCAACGGCGCCGCCATTGGGATGTCAGTCGTCCAGTCGGCCCTTGTCGTTCTTGCCCCAACTCTTGAGCGTGCCGTGAGTGAGCGATGCGCGCGTGCACGCCGGGTGTTGCGCGCCTGGCACCGCACCTCCAGAGCACCGAATCCAGTGTGGGTTCCCTCCCGTCGGTGGTGTGGTAGGTGTTGCCCGCCGAGGCGCCCGGCGTGCGAATCAACCTCACCTTCCGGGCTCGCACGTCGGTGGTCCCGCCACCCGAGGGCGGCGAGGGAGGCCAGGCGTGGCACACTGCCAGCCGCGCGTTCGGGACGTCGTCCTTTGCCGCCGCCGCCGCCGCCTCCGCCGCCTCCGCCGCCTCCGCCGCCTCCGCCGCCTCCGCCGCCTCGGGCGCCTGCCTCGGTCCGCCGGTTCCGCCGCCGCTGTCACAGCCCATCTTTGTCGGCTTGACGTCGGCCGTGGACCACACGCCCAAGGCGCCGCACACACGACGCGTCCCTGCCGTGGCCAGTGGGTTCGGGTACCGTGGGGTAGGGGGTGGTTGCTTCGGGTACCATGGGGTAGGGGAGGGTGGGTTCGGGTAACATGGGGTAGGGGAGGGTGGGTCCCGGCCGTGGCCCGAGCGACTTGTGCCCATGACATGTCCGCGCCACGTCCCCAGCCGTCAGGCTCCGCCGTCGGCTTCAAGCAGCGGCTGCACCATCCCTTTGAGACGCCGTTCGTATCCGACCCAGCGGAGCTGGGCGCGAGCCGCCCGCCGCGGGTGGCTGGGGACGCGTTCGAGCGCTCTTCACGCCCCCCTGGCCACGAATCGCAGGCGCGAGCCGCTACCGCGTTTGGCTCGCATCGCAGCCTCTGTTCCACGCGTGGGTCGCCTCGCAGCTGCAGGGGCGGACGCTCGTCGGCGGGACCGAGAAGAAGAAGCGAGCAAAGGACGCAGCGCACGTGCGACGGCTCATGCAGGGGTGGTAGCGATCATTTGGTGTGGGTTTGTTGTGACAGTCTGAAGACAGTGAGTTTAAGGTGCGCGTCGTCGGACGCCAGGAGGCCGGCACAGATAGGCGGTGGAGGCGCGACAACCACCCCTGACCCCAAGCCCGCCACCCGCGACTCGGGAGAATGATCACATGGAAGTGCGCCGCGGAGGGTGCTCGACCGGTGCCGGCCACGGCACCGGCAGCACGGGGGTGTCCGGTCCCCGAACGAGCCGTATGACGTAATGGGTTACAGTGCGAGGCGTGGCGATAGAAATCGGGGCGTCGGCATCCAGCAGCCGATTTCTGTTTCGGCGAGGGAAATCGGGCGAGCCAGCAGCCGATTTCTGTAAGCGATTTCTGCCAAAATTTTCTTCGGCGCTGCGCGCCGGTCACTATACGGTCTAGATACTAGTACACTAAAAGGTTGCCCTGAGATACGAATTCAATCCTCCCGCTTAACCTTTATTTCGTGTGTGCGTGCTCGCTCGTGCCTCGTGCGCCGAACCAAGTTCTGCTTCAACAAACCCGTCGAGAGGCCACGTCACGCCGGTGTCCCCTTTTTCTGCATCTTTGTGGGTGTGGCAGCCCACTTTGCCAGTCCCTAGAGGTGTCTTTGACATTTGACTTCGATGTCTGGTGGGGGACGATTTATGTCTGGTGGGGGACGCAGGTGCTCAAAGGTTGCGGGCGTGTCACCACTCGCGCCTTCGCTCCCGACACTGGGTTCTGGACATGCAACGACATGCCGAAAAGGGAGCGATCCGCGGCGCAGGCACGCGCTGAGGCCGTGTATAGACGCGCCAATCCGGATGATAGGGGCGATCGGGGCCGTGACCGCAGGGCCGAGAAGGTCGAGTACAGACGCAGACTCAAGAAAACGAGAGCGGAGGCCGCCGCCCTCGCGGTGCCTGACGCTGCTCCTGCGGCTCTCGTTCCCGTCCCGATTCCGTCTACCGTCCCTCGGCCACGGGCCCTCGGCCAGCACGGCAGGGGCCACCTGCTCGTCGCGAGGCAGCCGAGCTTGGCACTTCCGCCGCCCCTCGCCGCTCTTCCACCTACAATTGCTCCTCGCCTCGTCGCTCCGATCCCGCCTTTGGCGCCGACCGCGAGCCGGTACGGCGGCCTCGCCCTGCGCGACATCGCCTTTGGCAGCAGCCAGGGTCGCCTCGGCAAGGGCGGCCAAGGCACCGTTAGGCTTGGCCGCCACTACGGTGGTCGTCTCGCGGTGAAGCAGCCGCTGCGCGCGAGCAGCGCCTTCGCCTCCGAGTGTCAGATCGCGGCAGCACTACACCATGAGAACATCATCTATGTGATGGGCTTTGCATGCGCCCCGCGCGAGACGCCGTTCCTCGCTCTCGACTATGCCGACGCAGGGACTCTGGGAGATTTGTTGATCGGGGATCAGAGGGGCGAGAGCCGCTCCCTCGGCGTGCAGATTGCAAGAGCAATGTCGTACCTGCACACGCGATCTCCCCCCATCGTGCACCTTGACCTCAAGCCATCGAACGTGCTGCTGTCGGCGCGCTCTGAGGGGCTTGTCGCTAAGCTGTGTGACTTTGGGCAGGCGAGGCGACTAGCCGTTGGGGCGCAGCTCTCGCACTCAGGCACGCCGGGTTGGCGGGCGCCCGAGCAGGTGCGGGTGGCCCGCGACTTTGCAGTCGTGCCGCTTTCGCGTGGCACCGACGCCTGGTCGCTAGGGTGTGTCCTGGCTGCGCTCGAGGCGCCGTCGGGCGTCTGCGACCCGTACCACTTCGCCACGGGCGACGCGCCAGGCAAGTGCGACTCGCGCCTCCGACACGAGCTCGACGCAATCGTCGCGAACGGCTTCACCCGCCCGTGTGTGCCCGATGAAAGCCGGCTTGCAGGTGTGGTCAGCGCGTGTACGCACGCCCTGCCTAGCGAGCGAGCGACGTGCGCGTGGGTGCGCGCCGAGCTCGAGCAGCTTCTGCTGCAGCCGTGAGCGCAGAGAGTGACGCGCGAGTGACGGGCGAGGCCGATTGTCGATCTCTTTTCTGGTTGGTGCCATGTTTTGAGGGTGTATGAAATCTGTAATTGTCAAATGACACCCGGCTAGGCCGACACAGCCCCCCTCCCCCACTCGCCGCGCTAACAGTCTCGCACAAAATAAACAGCCGGGAGCCGGGTCTCGGGTCGTGTGGGCACAGCCTCAGCAGACACAGCCTGCGCGACGAGCCGGCCCGCCTAGGCAAAGGGCGAAAAGCAGAGGATCGCCGCATTCACGCCGTTGCGGCGCGACGGCGTCAGTCCCTCCGGCGTGACGGGCGGCGCGGTAACACGCGCCCGTTTCTTGCCGCCGGCGTTGACCGGAGCGGTCGAGGACGACGCAGCGGCAACTACGCCGTTGACGGGAGCCGGGCTCGGCTTCGGCATGCGCGAGAAGAATTTGTGAAGTGTCCCATGCTCGCTCTCTGGCGAGAGGGCCATCAGGCGCTTGAGCGCATCCTCCTTGTACTTGGTCACCATGTGGGCCGGGAGGTCTCGGGCTTGGCGGCGCGTCAGCGGCGGCACGACCGGCTCGTCGAGGGGGTTCTTCGTGGCGGCGACCTTGCGCTTGTGCGCGCGGACGTACACCTTGCGGACGCGTGGCTGAGGGCACTCTCCCGAGGGCGGCATGGCGACTTGCTGTGGATGTAGTCGATGTGTGCAGTGTGCAGGATTTGCACCCTTTTTGCATTCATCCTGACACGTGACACTACGCGAGCAGCACCCATGGAGGCGCTGGTCAACACTGTGCTGCTGGCTGCACACCCGAGCCTCGCGAGC